TCGGTACCACCGGAGTAATAATCGCACTGCTGCTGGGAAGAAGAACCAGCAGGAGCATTCTTGTAGTATGCCTCCCATGCTTTTCTTCGGCGTTCTTCTTCTGTTTCGCGGTGGCGCCTACCTGAGTGACATGACATGGTGAAGTTGGTATGAAGTTTGCGGCAGGCGCAGAGTATTGAGGTGGATGGTCAAGTCGAGAAAGGCAGGTGCCCATGGTGGAGGAATTGAGTGCCCGTTGGCGCAAGGGGGCCATGACATATATACTTGACAAAACCAGAATCACGGTGTTGGTCTGTACTAAGAAGAGGTGAAACGGCTTGTTACAGAGTCGTTCGAGTGGTTCGAGTGTTCGACGGGAGATCGTCAGCTGCGTTTGTTGAGCACCGCCATGACACCATACGTGCGGGGTTTAACGGCCGTTAAATATGAGGTTGATGACCCTCGTGACGCCTGGGGTGAGGGCCATGTGGGGTTCGTGGTGCGGTGTGGATGGAAGGTATCGTCGGAATAAATGGAGTCTGACTTGAACAATGTACCCTGGAAGAATATTTGAGCATATGTATTAGAGGCAATCCAGCGGTGGGATGAAGCCTTAACCAAGGTTCAATCAAGGGCCTTTCAAGGCAAGATTACGCTATATATACCTGACTGAAGCTTGGATAAGGGAACATGAAAGGTCGGATCACAGGTAATGGACTCAGATCAGTGATAATGGATGCTCGGATCAGGGTAATGGAAACATTAGGTAGGTGCAACATAAAAAAGAAATCACAGAGAGAGGCGGTAAAGACTTAGAAACAAGGTGATGGGAACTTACCTAAGTACGTTATGAGAGAAGTTATGGAAGCTCAGACTAATAGGACTGTAAGCCGAGATGATAGATGATAAAGTCTAAGACAGGTGGTGATAAAGGTCCAGATAACATATTTATTTGGACTACCTACTGAACGATATCCCGATTCAAATCCGAGCCATAAGCCACGCTTTCCTCTCCTCCGAACCTTCAGGCCCGACCTCCGCCAGTTTCTTGTTTTACAACTCCTGGATGGTCACATACATCGTCAGCAAGTCCCCCCCAATACTTTGCATCAACAACTCGTCCTTCAGAAGCAGCTGAAACGCCTCGTCGGGTTTAGTAGGAAGCTGCTCGGTCACCCCAAGTTCCAGCCTCTCCTCCTCTGTCAACATCGCCACATCAACTGTCGACTCGCACGGTTAGCATATCCACACTTTTTGTTTCTCAAATTCGAAAAGAAACCTCACCCTGGCAATCCCTCACCCCCAACTCCAACCCCCTCCTCACACCCTCCACCCCAGCGATCATTACCCCCGCCACGAACAAATACATCTGCGCCTACGCATCCGGCAACCTCACCTCCCAACACCCCCTCCCCCTCTTCCTAACCGGCCCCTCCCTGTTATCCGTCCCCCAAGAAACCCACCTCCCCGCGCACCACTGCCCCGCCCTCGTCCGGGCATACCCCTCCGGCCTAGGCATAGCAAACGCGCACAACGCCCCCAAATGCTTCATCACCCCAGCGAGGAAGCTCTCCTCCACCTCCCCAACCTCACCCCGCAGACTCTGCACCGAAATATTCGTGTGCAACCCGTTGATCTCGGGCATGGTGGGATTAAACAGCACCTCAATCCCATTCTCCCTACACACTCGTCGGGTGGTCTCCTTGGCGGTGACGAGACCGTCTACTGCTTCCATGGGGGGCAAGTGGCCTCGCACCAGCTCGTAGGCATTGTCGCTTCCCTCGCAGTGGAATTGTTCAATGGGGACTTTTGCCGCGGACTCGAGCTGTTTGGTGATGGTGGATAGCACGGGGAGCATGAAGGACTCTATGGCGCGGAGGCCGGAGGAGGCGTGGATTTCTGCCGTTTTGGCACTGTGTTTGGACTGAACGGCGCTGAATTCGAGCTCGAAGCCGACTCGGAAGTAGAGGCCGATTTCCTCGCCTGCTTGGATGGCTTGGAGCAGAGCGCGGCGGGGGCAGAAAGGGGCGGAAAAGGTGAGGGGGGAGTGGTGGATGTCTTGATGGAGGGGGGTTCCTTTGCCAAAGTAGCATAAAAGAACGGCGTGTTCTTCTGCGGTGTTCAGGCTCGGGCAAAGGTGGATGGTGTTGAAGTCGGGGAGGAGGAAGCTCTGTCCTGCAGGGCGGCCAGGGTCGACGTTTGTGAGTGGGAGCCCGATGTCAATGAGGCACAGATAGTGTCGGCACAGGGCAAGGTTTGTTTTGGCTTCGAGAAGGGCCTGGAAGTGGCGGAGGGTGAGAATCCGGACCCGGACGGTGGAGGTGTAGTCTGTCCATTGAAGATGGATGAATTGTACTGATGGGTGCCACGTGATGAAGGCCGCGAATTTATCGTAACCATCGATGATGAGAGCCATCTTGACGCCAGGTGAAGGTTAATTTGGCATACCAAACGGAGCAAAATTTCTTCGCCGATTCAAATGTTGGACTTGGAAGATCTAGTCTATGCCTGAGCCTGAAAAGATGACTTGTGTCAGCAGTGTAGGTAGCTATGTAGCCCCAAAAATAATGACATTGGCAGCCCGCTTATTGAATATGCAACCGGACATGCAGCTCTGGTGTGTTGGGTACAACGAAACACAGGAGTTGGCACACGAACAGGTAGAACGCTGTATTATAGGATCTCCGCAAGGCAGCAGTGGTCTTGTAGGAATGCATTCTGCTTATTATCCAGCCATACAGGGAGAAGGACAGAGGTCAGCATGCCCGTGACTAGTCACACAGACATACACAGCCTCCACTTGCATGCTGCCACATCCCTTCGTTCACAAGAGACCCGGGACTGTGCCCGCATTAGGGGAGCCTGATAGCTCGGAAGGTTGGGAACCCCGCCTCCACTCCACGTCTCGGGATAGAGATGTCCGAGCCTTGCCTACCACCCTTGCCACAAAATAATTGAGACACTCCCTAGTAAAGTAGGTGGGCATGGCTTGAAGGATAGTCCATAGGTCTTTAAAGATAATTCATAAGCTTTTAAACATGGTCTAAAGGCCTTAAAAGATTGTTTAAAGGCCTATTAATCTACTTTTGAGGTATATGTCAGTTCACAGTATAGTATGGGTTAGCTTTCTTTTGCTGTCTCAATTATCTTGTGGGGAGGGTGCCTATCCACCTACACAACCTTTGGTGTGTATAGGGAGTATAGTTCATATCTTACAGAATATATGGTCCATTGCTTCCGCGCATGGGACAAGCATGGCATCGAGATCTTGCGATTTCTCTTGAGAAAGCTAGGATGTGAGAGCTGTGGTGTTGAAAATGACGATCAGGTAGCTAACCGACAGAAGTAGAAGTACGGTAGATGCAAATTTCCACGTTCCATGATACAAACCTGACCCGGTTCCATCGCTCTTCACCATTACTTTCAGCGCCACTGCATATGCACCAACCCATCATAATCCTTCTCCGTCGGTGTCCTCCCCTGATCCTCCGATCGAGAAAAGTACAACGTCTCAGCCTCCTGCAGCAGCATCTCCGCTTCTGCCTCTCTGCTCTCATCCTCATATAAAGCCTTAGAAAGCTTGTAGAGACAGCGGGCATGCTCACCCACCATGTCTTCCTTGTGGAGGTTCGTAATCACCATCGCGTCTGTGATGTGTTTTCTTTGAACGACAAACCCTTAGCCACGCTCTCATGCTAAAGTCATGGGCTGCCTCAGGGTACTTACATGGAAGCTTGCACGTTTCCCTGGTCTAGAGCGCAGCATCCGGTCCGGTACATGCACGCGGCGTTGAAATAGCTCGTTCGAGCCTGCTGCTTCGAAAGCCACAGGTTCTGAGCCTGCATAAAGTACGACTCGGCATTGGAGAAGTTCTTTTCTTCCATTTCGATTCTGCCGATCAGAAAGCTCGCGCTGTGTGGTGTGAGATAGCCGGTTAGGAACACCGCATTTCCATCGTTTTGTTCAAGAGGGAAAGATGGAAGGAAGATTAATAAGAGCACTTACTATGCCGCATTGGCCCACTGCTCCCCTTGATTCCGCATGTACTCTTTGTAGGGCCCTTCAATCTCCGCCCGCGCCTCCTTCAACCGGCCCATATACAACAAACACGTAGCCATGCTCATCTTTTGGAACGGAGAGTACGGCCTTCTAGGCGGGTCCGAAGGTTTGGCCGATTCTGACCACCGTTTCCAAGTTGCAGCAGCCTTCTTAAACCATTCATATGCCTTATCGAGCTCCATCATGGTAACGTACGCCTCGCCAATGTTGTGCTCGGACCATGACACCTCCATCTGGTCGCCATCCGGTTCCCGGATCCGAATCTCAAGTGACTTCTCAAGACACTTGAGCCCCTTCCTGTGGTAGCCGCTGCGGAGATAGAGCTGACCCAAGTACGATGGAATCGAGGACAACATGTCCCAAAGCCGCTCCTCGCCTTGTAGGGTGAGGATCGCCTCCTGATTGACTTCGCAGACTTCTTTGAGCTCTTCAAACTCGTGCTGCTCGAGAAGGTAACTGCCATGAAGGGTAGATTGTTTAGTCAGGTCCCTAATCATCATATGGCACGGGTGGGGGGTGTTCTTGCGGTTGACTTCCTCGTTTCTGTTCAGGATACAAAGGACTCACCGTTCACAGGTAGTAGCAACCTCACAAAACTCCCTACACGTATGAAACTTTGGGTTCCTCAATCGCTCCTGTCTAAACATCTTGGAAAGAGCCAGGATATGTGGCACATAAACACTACACCGTTCCCAGTGTTCGTGCAGGTGAGGCGCCCGTTCCGGAAAGGCGAGAAACACAAGCTTGGACGCCATACGATGAGCCTTTGCTCGGCCTTCCTCTCCCAGAAAGTCCTGAAAATGGCTCTGGATTAGCCTGTGGGCACGACAGTTCGCATGTGTCTCTGTCCTTCTTGACCAGGGACAAAGTTTGGAGTTCCACAACCGCTTCGGAAAGGCTATTTCGTGTCAGCTCATGGCCATCATGTTTTAACATCGTGAAGTAGGTAAGAACAGGAGGATTCACGTCAGGACATCTCCACACCACGGCAGCTCCGTTGCCAACTTTCCCGGCTCTCCGGGCTGAAAGAGCATCTCCGGTATCCGATCCGCACTGCAGCACGAAATGACCGCCAGAATCGAACTCGCGTTGACGCTCAAGTTCTGAAAAGAGATCTGCCAGACTGGGCCGATACCGTTCTGTCCAAACTCCGGGGCGCGGTCATAGATCTCGACCAGCTGGCCTATGGTCCAGCCGCGCTTGTGAATAACAGCCGCCATCCTGTCTAGAGCCAAAGCGTGGCCGCTGAGCCTCTCTGAGAGCTCTAGCGCTGAGTTGAACTGGCTGGCCAAGACATCGGCGCTGATGTGATCGGCGAGTAGATGGATAATACACTTGGCGCCGTTGTCGATGTCCCAAGTCTCAACTTCAATTCCGATTTCTGCCGGCTCCCAGGCAAGATCGGTGTTGCGAGTGGTGATCAAGGCGTGACCATTTGCCGCTAGGTTGGGCCAGTGCGTGACGAGGACGTCGAAAGATTCTACATTGTCGTAGACTATCAACCATTTGGCCTCTGCAATGATTTGAATTTGAATCATCAGTTCGGTATCTCCAACATTTCTTCAACACTGAGATAAGAGGCTAATACGAACTCGTCTGTTGCAACCAGGTCATAACAAGCAGTCGGTTGTCGTCATGGTTGTGAGGAACATAGCCTGGCAGCTGGAGCCTTCCCGCAATATCGGAAAAGCTTTGCTTGACCTTGATCTTTGTCTCCGCCTCAACCCAAAGCACCGCATTAATTTTATGTTGCTTGTATCGAGCTTGGGCATAACGTATATTATAAGCGAGCGACCAATATAAGCGAGCGACCACTTTTTCACAACCTTTATATCATTATCCTCAATTACTACACAACCATAGTAAGAAGCAACCATAATTACATCCGAAATAGCTGAATCAAACAATTCTATAGCCTCCTGGCAAGTGCGCGCATTATGGCCAGGCTTACCGCACACACCACAGCACTGAACCTTCGTACGAGCCCCCCCTACACCACCGCCATCCGGCTATATTTCTTCCACTACCTCCCCACCCACGGCCTTCTGGTCCAGTAGATCCTGTGTATCTTGCACAGTAAGTGATCCTCCGAGCCGTACACGTGTTTTTTTAGCTCTCCGGCGCTTACTTAGTGCCTCATTAGCCTTACGGAGCGAAGAGACCTCTGCCTGTAAGAGGGCCACTTAGTACATTACAGCTATCGTACCCTTAGTAAATTAATCTATAGCACCTAATATTAAAATCGGGAAACTATTTTAATAATTAATAATACGAGTTTTAATAAGCGTGGAGTATAAGTTAGCTTTTCGGGGGTTTTATAGTATTTAAAATACCTAAGGGAGTACCGTACCCGGCTTTAAGGATAGGGGTATTAACGTACGAAACTTTATATTTAATTTAAAAAGTACCCTCTTTAAATTACATAATATAAGGCTAGTATCTATAAAACTATTTTATATATTTTTTTCCGTTATAGAAGCGAAAAAGGTTTTGCGGAAAGTATAAAGAAACTCGAGCTTACTTATATAATTAATATATATATATATTAAACCCTCGATCTAACGGCCGTATACCTATTTTAGCGGTCTAAAGCAACTAATATTAAGTAGCTGGAGGAGGTAGTGTGACGAACCCCTATACAGAACCTTTAAAAGGGATACTAGTTAAAGGCTATTTTTAATAATTAGTTCGGTGCAGCTAAATAGTATATAATAAAATGTTTTAATATAAATATAAAATACTATAAATATAAGTTATAAATTATATATTACGGAATTATCTATTTATACTAGCTAGTTCCTCCGTATATATAAACCCTATGCTAAGCCTAGCACTATCTTAAATCGATAGACTCGAGTATCGATCCCATTAATACTATCCATTTTAGATTAACTCTTTTAACTCGATCCTCGATCCTAATAATCTTACTCTAATTAGTCCTTAACCCTATACTAATAATTAATCCGTAGTACGTTTACGCTTTACTAAATATTAAACCGTAATACGACGCTCCCATTCCTAAACCGAAGTCCCGTCGGCTTAATTTACTCTTTTATATTTATTAATACTTATAAATTCTTTTTTTTTTCTTTATTTTTTTATATTTTATAATATTTAACCGTATAAGTAAAGCGCGACCCGGTATTAAACCTCTATACTCGAAAATAGCGGATCGTAATAAATTATTTACTATAGTCCTATAGTTTATTACTATTATAAAGCGTACCTATTCCTTTTATAAGAAACGTAATTTTTTTTATAAAATCTCTCCCTCCGTTTCTAAACGTTATACTATTTATATATAGTATAACTAGTCCCTTTATAACGCTCGTAGGCTATCCGTTTAATAGTTTCGTAAGGTTATTATTTAATATAATTAATTAAAGACGGAGATAGTAAAAACTAAGTTTTAATACACTGCCCTAGATTAAAAGATTAACCGCCTACGCCTATAGAAATAAATATAGTTTAAGCGAATAGCTGCGGCCGTCTTCCGTGGCTTTAATAGTGTGGAAGAGCTAGAGCGTATTAAGCAGAAGGACTTTCCAGCTGGCGAGATACGTGGTGTGGGGGGACTA